ACTAAGTTGCCAAACAGGCCCTTAGTGCATTAGTGTCATTCTAAAACCCTCTCTCCCCTCTCCTAGGCTGGATTCTATATTTTAATAGGTTGAATGTGTGGCAGACCAAATTGTGTTTTTACAGTATGCTAAAATCAATGAGTCCAGTGTGTTGTGCACAAGATCACACTTTGGGGATGTCCCACGCACAAAAGGCCCGGTCAATTTTGTAAAATTTGAGTGACATGGCTATGAATAGACGAATTGTAATGCCATTTATCTGAATATAGGCACATTTGCAATGACATGGATCAAATGAACCCTAGAAAAATATGGTGCCCAACCTGCCATTGATATGGTAAATATTAGTGGCCTTCTACGGCAATTGACGCAGCCATGACACTTACACAAAGGTTCAATAATAAGATCGGACATAACTGTGCTGAAAGAAAATGGAAATTAATTGCATAATGGACTACTGTAGACCGATGCAGCAGCATAAGAAAGATCAGAGATAGTTTGTCCTAGAGAAATTCATCAAAAGAAAACAACTGATATATTTGGTCTCAGCATGCGTTTAACAATAAAGTTTCAAGCAGTCTTCATCGTAGCAATCCCCTTGGCATGCATTTAACGATAAAGTTTCAAGTAGTCTTCATCATAGCAATCCCCCTGGCAAGAAACAAAAACCATACATGTGAGTCAACTGTAGCATGAGATTGATATCTCCATGGAGTAAAATCAAGATCATATTTTTTAGAACATACACCATACCATGTAGTTGTTATCTTGGCTTTCAGCGACATCATCATCACTCTCAGAGGCCATTTCAATTTCACTGCTCTCCGCATTTCCCCACGCATAACATGGTTCAAGCTCATCAAACTTTTCCCACACAAAATCTAAGACAAATTGTCGAATCTTCATGGTGGTACTAATGGATTTACCAGAATTACACATCAAGTTCTCAATCAACCACTCAGGCTCCTTTCTGATACCCTAATGGTGCAAATAAATTGATCAAAGTCATGTAACACAAACTTCAGACAAGTGTACCAGAATGTGGTTAGGTGAAGGCAGGCATGCACGCACCCGAAGGGCAGCAGCAATATGAGAAGACCACTTCCGACAGGTAATAAAAAGTTCAGCAGTAGCGACCCGGATGTTATGGCACAAGGTGTACTCATCATCGGTAAAAATACGGCGCCCACGCCTCAGCCATTCACAAATCAACTCAGCCTCCTTAGCAAGACACTTGAAACCATCCATCATTTTTTATTGCAAATAACCAATACAAGAAACTAGTGAGCCTCTCTTTCAATCATTAAAACAGAATCAATATGGTAATCAATCAATCAAACTAAACAGCCAGGAGATTGAGATGTACCTCAGCAGCATCGAAGGCATATGGATGTTCTATTTCACCTTTATCTTTAATCGCAATATGCATATAGCTAACAATGCATTTATTCACTATGGAACCACGAATACTACTACAGGCATGTGAATTCACCCACAAGGACGTCATGCCGTTCTCCTTCTCCAAATACTTTCAAAGAAAGAAACCATCATTACTTATGCATATCATCCCCAATAAGTACTTCAAAGACAAATGGTGTAATTTAAGTGAATCCTGCTGTGCATATAAAGGAAGGAGGTACGGAGCAATTACAAAAACCGCCTCCCATGGGCGCTGAAGTTAGCGTCACAGCATTTCAGCCCAATGAATGAAGCAACAGGGCTGGGCATAGGTTCAAACGCTTAAAAAAAAGTGAAAATACCCAAAGAAAAGCCCCATTTGGATTGGAGGTTTCTGTACAGAGAGTATTCCGCGTTGGACGATTTGACTGTACCCAGAATAGGCCTTTTCTCATGACGGTCTAATTGTAATTATTTCGTTCCTATGTATTCACGAAGAGGCACAAAATGGATCACACAGTTGCATCATGAGTCCATAACAGTACGTTAACAACAGTTAAAATCATGTTTGTTCACGCTAAGACAGTTGGTATGAATTTTGTATTAGAGTCATCAGTAAATTTGTATTGGACAAATCCAATGACTTACTTTTTTAGCATAGTTTCTTTAACAGAAATACAAATTTCGGATAGAGTTTCGTGACCCAACACAGCAACTTTGTACTGATTTTGTAGAGATAAGCAGAGAATTGAGCGGGTTACCATGGAGGCAGTATCAGCAAGGGATGCAACAGGAGCAGCAGGACCTCTATAAGAGTTATAAAACCAGTGAAGGTAGGCATCGTACTGCTGCAAGGCAGTTGGACTAGTGTTTTTTAAGTCACAAGGAAGTAGTCTGTGTTGGTCCCGAGATCTTCCACACGGGTGAGCCGACCGGTCACCGGGTGAGCCGATCGGTCACCGGCGTTCTCGCTCACTATGGCTAGAGGTAGAAGAAGGGAGAGAGAACAAAGCACGCGCGCACACAGCATAAGCACCAGCGTTGGCCGAAACTCTGCAGAGAAGATGGTAAAACTGAACTCGCTCTCTTTACTGAGTTGCAGTAGGAACCTATATATACAACTCTACCTATCTAATCCTAGCACACAGACATGCCATGCTGCCATACTGCTACAGTGACTGCATGTGACAGCAGGGCTGACTTTAGCGCCTGCCCCTGCTGTGGTTACAGTGCGGTAGGGGAGCCTTTCGACGCATGCCCTTATCGTGGCTACAGTGCAGCAACAGGGGAGCCCTTTCGACGTCTGCCCCTACCGCACGTACAGGAAGCGGCAGATTACTTTACAGTCTGTCCGTTTCCGGTGATTTGAACTCATATGATTTTGCGGTCGGGAAGCCACGAGAGGACATTTGAAGGGGAAAAGCAGTTAACCGTGGTGAACCAACGGTAGTGGGAAATTAAACAAACCAAAGGCTCAAATAACGAATCATTAGTTACCAGGGCAATTTAGAAGATCCAGCGGCCGTGGGGAAGAAGAACCTCTGTGCGTCGCCTCAAAATTGGAGACTTGGGCGACTTGTCCTGGACCGACTGATGCGCCTTGGATGGGATCGGCGCACGACATTGACGCAGCTTCGACCTTGCTCGAGGAGGTTAGGGTTTGACAAGTGCGGCGCGGGGTGACACGGGAACGACCACGCTTAGGTTTATTGATATTCCCCGTGGGCGCCGAGCACCGGATGTTGCGTCCCCTCTCCCCCATTCGCAGTCGCACAGGATGGGGACGGGAGAGAATGAAGCGGATGAGGCGAGGGAAAGGGAGAGGGAGCGGAGGAAGGAGAGGACGATGACGGCGCGACGGCTTCATCATGGACACCGACCGATCGAGTGCGTGTGCGTCTAGTCTAGGCCTCTGGGGCGTGTCGTGTTTGGATGGGCGCATGTGCCCAGCCTGCATGCGCATGCGTATAAACGCGCAGAGCAAGGCGTTTGGTTGGCCTGCTGCACTGTATGCGCCGATGCAAAGATACGGTGGCATGCAGGCTCGCTCCAGTGGCGGTGATGCAGCCGAATTGGCCTTCGCTGTGGAGCCTGGCTGAGGCTGAAAAGTGACCTCCCAGGCCTGATTTAGCCCAGCCCAGCAGACCCAATGGCCATTTGAGCTTTCTTCACGTGCAGGCCCGAAATTATTAACAGGGTCGGCCCAACTTCTTCCTTGGTCAGGCCAGAGAAGCGCTGTGGGCCTTATTCATGGGTCTTGGTCTCTTGGGTGCCCAGTCCTGCCTAAACCATCTACTTTGGGCCCAACATGAACTTTGAACTTGTAGCATCTATTTTTGTCTTTGTTTCATCGTCCGACAACAACATAGCCAGTTCTTCTCAATGGTTAGTAGTATTACTATCCTTTTTTTTATGCTGGAGAGCTTCCTTAAAAAAAATCAGGGTGGAAATCCGGTTACCCTATTGGTCATTTATAAGCTTGGCTTTTGCATCGATTGGAATCTCAGGGCTCTGTTTCAGTGAATTTATCAAAACTGGATTTAATTTGCACAGAACGAAAAATAACGGCTAAAGAAAAACACACACATATAGGGGCTCACATGTATTCGCTCATATAAAAACAAGGACACACATATACTTACTTTGTGAGGACATCTAAGAGATTGGACTAGTAGATTGTGCAATTAACAAAATTAGTTTAAAGAACAGTTAGCAAATGAATCGAATCAACAACTTTAACCTAGGTCGTTTTTTACCAGAAGGAACCTAACCTCAGCTTGCAAAAATTGTTCACATTTGAACGGAGAACAAACAGATTTCAATTACCTCTTCCAATACAGGCATTCCAGAAGTTGAGACTTCAAACTGATGGGAGGACAACATTGAAGATTTCAATTTTCTTCCCCAAATGAAGCCGATGATTGTGGTGTCTCCAGCAGAACTTATCCTCTACGTCGGGGACTTGACCGCCCGAATCTGTCACAGTGCCAATCCCCTCTTTCACGTTAGCGTGGTACTGAAACGGTCACACTGGCATCACCCTCAACATCAGCACCAACCAATCAGGCAATCACCACATAATGGTTTTGTTTCTTGGACCAGCGAGAAAGAGGCTAAGGTCCTGTTAGCTCAAGCGAACAGGGTCTCGAATTCACCAAAGCCACCGAGGAGACTGGAGACCTCACTTCCCCAGGTCCAGATCCGTGTGTGCACGGTTTCCTGGTAGGTGGTAAGAAACAAGGAAAATTCATGGACCCGGGCCGATGTGTTGCTAGTCCAAGCGCAATTACGAAAAGCAAGCAGGCTCCACGGGGACTAGTCGTCCCTGATCGCGACCGGAGTGGGATCCACTCGCCCTCTCAAGTCAAGGGTCAAGCCCGGCCGGGCAAGGATCCCGACGAGGAAGAACGCAAGCGGCCGCCCCGCTTGACGATTCCGCCGCTCAGGACAGCAGCCGAACACAACACAGGTGAGGTGACTAGCGCGGCAGCCTGGCGCATATATCAATCTCCCCTCCACCAACAGAACCCACATCGATTTGCAACTTGCTTAGCCACCACCACCAACCCGGGCCCCGGTGCCTATCCACAGCGAAAGCCACGATGCTGAGGCTGAGCGCGCTGCTGCTGCTGTTCTTCCTCTGCCTGTGCGCGTTCCCCGCCCCGGCGCGGTCGCAGAACACGACCACGGCCTCGGCCGCGCCGGCGTCCGTCGAGGGGTTCAACTGCTCCGCCAACCGCACGTACCCATGCCAGGCGTACGCGCTCTACCGCGCCGGCTTCGCGGGGGTGCCGCTCAACCTCGCGGCCATCGGCGACCTCTTCGCCGTCAGCCGCTTCATGGTCGCGCACGCCAACAACCTCTCCACCGCCGCCGCGCCGGCCAACGGGCAGCCGCTGCTCGTGCCGCTCCAGTGCGGCTGCCCCTCGGGGTCCCCCAACTCCTACGCGCCGATGCAGTACCAGATCGCCACGGGGGACACCTACTGGATCATCTCCACCACCAAGCTGCAGAACCTGACGCAGTACCAGGCCGTGGAGCGCGTGAACCCCACGCTGGTGCCCACCAACCTCGACGTCGGCACCATGGTCACGTTCCCCATCTTCTGCCAGTGCCCGGCCGCCGCCGACAACGCCACCGCGCTCGTCACCTACGTCATGCAGCCCGGGGACACCTACGCGTCCATTGCCGCCGACTTCTCCGTCGACGCTCAGTCGCTCGTCTCCCTCAACGGGCCCGAGCCGAGGACGCAGCAGTTCGCCGAGATACTCGTGCCGCTCCGCCGCAAGGTGCCGGAGTGGCTGCCCCCAATCGTGCTCCGGAACAACGCCTCCGCGACGCCAGCGTCCCCGCCGCCCTCGGCTTCTCCCAACGCGACCGTGGTGAGCGACGACCGAAACGGCGTGGTCACCGGGCTTGCCGTCGGGCTGGGCGTCGTCGGCGCTCTCTGGCTGCTGCAGATGCTGCTGCTGGCATGCTTGTGCAGACGGCTCAAGGCGAAGGGACCACGAGGTGACGCGGTGGCGAGCGGCGACGGCGTCGAGGGCGGCAGGTTCGCTAAGACCTCGTCCGCCGGCGGCGGCGGCGCGGCGCCGGGGAGAGGTTCCTGGTTAGCGACATATCTGAGTGGCTGGACAAGTATAGGGTGTTCAAGGTGGAGGAGCTGGAGCGCGGCACCGGGGGATTCGACGACGCGCACCTCGTCAACGGCAGCGTGTACAAGGCCAACATCGACGGCGTGGTGTTCGCCGTGAAGAAGATGAAGTGGGACGCCTGCGAGGAGCTCAAGATCCTGCAAAAGGTACGTCCCCTGTTTCGTCCCCAAGTGAATTGCTCTTCGGCTTTGTTCGGCTGCTTCCGGTATATAGCATTTTTCTCTCCTAATAAATCCGTCGTAAAAATCAGCACGGCTTATAGATCAGCCAAACAATCAGTGGCAGTGCTGTCACAGCTCATACTAAAAAAAATGCTTTGAATTATCTTTGTTCTCACTAACCAAGAACGGCTAATCGCTAAGGCTTGCTGGCCTATTGATTATTGGTCTGATGACCATTACAATTTGTGCATTTCTGATTGGGACAGTATGGTTAGATAGAACGTTTGTGCTGATATCCATTTTTTTTGGGAGAGAAAACAAAGGAACGCACTTCTATAATTATTCTCTTCCAAATTATGGATCGCAGTGGTTAATTAAATCATTAAGTGGACTAACAACAGCCAGCAGAACTAGTCGAAGTAGTGATGTAGCAGTATTTTGAAGTCATGTTTGTGCCTGAGTTTCCTTTTGTAAGGCATGGGTCATTGGTTTGGAATCTTGCTACTGACATTGACATCAACTAGCAAGAGATGCATCTCTCTATTGGTTGATTCATCTTCCTTTTGGTTGATTGAAGACATTAAGCGAAATTATTGATGGTAGTGCCGTAGTGGATTTAGGAAATGCATTTTTAGATTTGTAGCTGAGAGTGTCATCAGATGTATTCAGACCGCTCTGCAGGGCAGCACTTGGCAGCGGTGGTACTAAAGGATCGCACGAGCCATAGAAAAGTACAAGAACATCCAACCATAGATCAGCCAACAACTGGATAAGAGTATTTGTTTAATTATCATTTCCTTCTAATGGAGAGGTCCATTTGTTTTGGACTTTTGCTTATGGTCTTCTCATAATAAATCCTTTTTTTAGGGTTCTCATAATAAATCCTAATGGACCTGCAACCTGTAGACGTATCGTGTAGGGTCACGACGTATGAATGGGATGGTGTAGAGGGTTGACTGCTTTCTGTGGGCGGGTCTCGATCACCACCTCCGTCTCAAAAAGATACCATTATAGCATAGTGTTAACTCTCTTAAATTTAATCAAATTTAGATTGGATAAAAATATACTGGCATTTATTATCGATAACTCGTCATGAAATATATTTTTATTGTATATTTATTTATAAATTGATAAAGCTTGATCTTATTTTCTTTAAACTTAGCTAAAGTTTTGTTTGTTTGACTTAGATCGAACTAGAATTACGTCTTTTTGAGACGGATGTATTATTTCTTGAAAAAAGATAACTCGACGTTAAGAGATGGAGATAGTCGAGGGCTCGAGGTTATAGATTGCTCACCATCCTCGCAAAAGTGTAATAATATTTGCCCGTCACTTCATCAGTCACCACCCACCAGCCAGCGCATCTACACGGTGGCATCAATACATGAGTCTTCTCACGCTGATGTACGACGTTGAACTATTCGCCAATTTTCAACGAAGTCTGCTGTCCTGACAGCGGAGAGCCGAGACGTAGAGGTGCAGTGACTAGGTCGTTGAATTTTTCTTCGAATCAGCATCATCACCAACTCCTCAACCCATGACGCTTTGTGGCAAACAAAGATGAATGACGTTGAACTATTCGCCAATTTTGAAAAGAAGTTTGCTACTGTCCTTTCGTTTTTATTTGGAGAGCCGAATTATAGAGAGGTGCAGTGAAAACTTAGGTCGTTGAATTTTTCTTCGAATCAGCATCATCACCAACTCCTCAACCCATGACGCTTTGTGGCAAACAAAGATGAATGGCATCTGTGTGAACATTTTGCTAAACACGGGCATAGATGCGGACACTGCAGGAATTTTGTTTTTTTGCAACATGTGTAATTGTATATTTCGTGCGCAGGTGAACCACAGCAACCTGGTGAAGCTGGAGGGGTTCTGCATCAACTCGGCGACGGGCGACTGCTACCTGGTGTACGAATACGTGGAGAACGGATCACTTGACCTGTGGCTGCTGGACCGCGACCGCGCGCGGCGCCTGAACTGGCGGGCGCGCCTCCACATCGCGCTCGACCTCGCCCACGGCCTGCAGTACATCCACGAGCACACCTGGCCCCGCGTGGTGCACAAGGACATCAAGAGCAGCAACATCCTCCTGGACGGCCTCATGCGCGCCAAGATCGCCAACTTCGGCCTCGCTAAGACGGGCCACAACGCCGTCACCACGCACATCGTGGGCACCCAGGGGTACATCGCGCCCGAGTACCTCGCCGACGGCCTCGTCACCACCAAGATGGACGTGTTCGCCTACGGGGTCGTCCTGCTGGAGCTGGTGTCCGGGCGCGAGGCCGCGGACGAGAACGGCGAGCCGCTGTGGGCGGACGCCGAGGACAGGGTGTTCCGGGGCCGCGACGAGAGGCTGGAGGCCCGCGTCGCGGCGTGGATGGACCCGGCGCTCGCGGAGCAGACGTGCCCGCCGGGGAGCGTGGCCAGCGTGGTCAGCGTGGCGAGGGCGTGCCTGCACAAGGACCCGTCCAAGCGCCCCAGCATGGTGGACGTAGCCTACACGCTGTCCAAGGCGGACGAGCACTTCGCCGACTACTCCGGTGAGAGCATGTCGGTTGACGGCAGCGGCGAAATCGCTGCTCGGTGAACCGTCCTTCGTTTGGCTAGTACTCCTACTCAGTGGTAATAGGTTTCTTAGCCATCAGTTCGCGTTGTAAATGTTAAAGGTCTAGCGAGCGGAGGATGAGTCAGAAGTGAGTATATTGAATAATAACGCCGGCATTCTGCGAGGCTGAGGTGCGTGAAATCTATCGACTTGAGTCTTGAGGTGTATGTATACTCTTGTTTTTTTTTTTAACTGAGTATAATCTCATTAGTCAACTGCAATTACATAAACACTTTCCAGAGATGGAACTGATGACTTGTTCCTTCCTAGGATTACACAATTTCCCAACACGCCAACTCATAAGCGGCTTTGTTACAATCCCCTACTCTTAAAAGAGCACTCGAAACTAATAAAACAAAGAAGACACGAGGGACTTACTCTTGTAGTATTAGGCAGATGAGGATTAATTCAGGAGTAGAAAATGGGTTACCGATGAAAGCAACTTATGCCTTGGTGTCGTATGTTACTCTCTTTTTTTTAGATACTAGCTCTCGGACATAAGCATGTCTCCGGACCTCACGCCTCCTCCGTCACGCACACTCGTGGAAACGCCATGTCCGCCGCTCCTTCCTCCCTATCCCCTTCTCTCTCTCCGCGAGTCCGGATGCCGCGTCTCCTCCCCGCGGCTACTTCCCCTTGAACCCCCTCCTCTCTCCACACGAGCAGGACTCAGGAGCAGGGATGAGGATGATTGGACGAGCGCGCCCCATCTGGACGACCCTAGGTGCGCTGCACACCTCGACTGCCGGCCCCCAGCACGCCCCATCCGTCGGCCCCGGCTCGCCGCGCCCCATCCCGCAGCGTCCGAGCCGTGTCCCATGACACTCTACCTCTGAAATATGAAACACTTGGATGCATACATACGTCTGAAGCAAATGAAACATTTGAAACTTACACTTTAAACATGCGTGTGAAACATATGCAACATCCAGATAAAACACTTGCAACTTGCAACATGAAAACACTTATTGCAACATAAGACTGAAACGGATGAAACATTTCGAACATACTCTTACGACATATATGTGCGAAACATATGCAACGTCCAGATCAAAATGCTTGCAATATACGTCTGAAACAGATGAAATATTTTGAACAAACGCTTGCAACATGCCTTTGAAACACTTGCAACATGCCTCTGAAATACTTGCAACACATTCCACACCCCGATCTATTTTTCCAACATCTGCATAAAACACTTGCAACATACCTCTGAAACATCTGAAATACTTAAAATATATGCTTGCAACAGCGCTTTCAGCGCATATCTCCTTGTTGTTTCAGAATGGAGGCTCATCGGCATGTGGGGTTCACCGATGTAGAGCTCACCGGTGGCACGGAGCTCGACGCTCCGGTGGAGAAGGCCACGGCAGGTCTGGTGGAGAAGGCCACGGTGGGTCCACGCGCCTATAGAAGGTCGTGGCAGGTGAGAGGCGTGGTGGAGAGGGAGAAAGACGGGCTGCTGTGCTCTAGCACAGTAGAGGTGCCGCCTGGTGGAGTGGAGGCGCGGTGGAGAGCACGGTCGCCAACGTAGCGCGGCGGAGCGCGGTCGCGGTCTCACGGAGACCTGTCGCGACGCTGCAGTGAGGTGAGTTTTTTTAGAACGGTGGCAGGCCAGTGAATGAGCATATAAAGGAGCGGTCGTTGGGCTGGCGCGGACGGACGCCCTACACGAAGAATTACCGTTTTTTTTTTTTGAGTGGATGGTGTCGTATGGTTATGTTGGTAACGGATGGTGTTTCGGAAGCGAACATCATCGTTCGTTGGACGTCTAGCCCATTTTTCCCGACTCCTGAATTGGGCCTATATATCTGCCGTCCGAAAGCAGCTACCAGCAATGCAGCGCACTAAGAACCGTGAATACTGCTGTCCGAAAGCACCTACCAGTAATGCGGCGCAATATAAAGGGTCGTGGCCCACAAATATCAGGAATTGTTTTCTTGGCCTATACATTTGCTGTCCGAAAGAACCTACCAGTAATGCCGCGCAATATAAAAGGGCCGTGGCCCACGAACATCAGGAATTGTTTTCGTTTCATTTTTTCACTTTTTTCTTCTCTTATAGTTATATTATAATTATTTTTTAACATGCATAAGAGCTGTGTATCTTCTATTAAGATGTGTCTGGAGCTATGAACATATTATGACACTATTATTTTATTGCATTCAATATTTTGAACAACTTCGTCCGAAAGAACCTACCAGTAATGCCGCGCAATATAAAAGGGCCGTGGCCCACGAACATCAGGAATTGTTTTCGTTTCATTTTTTTCACTTTTTTCTTCTCTTATAGTTATATTATAATTATTTTTAACATTGCATAAGATCTACGCTGTGTATCTTTTATACCATATCAACATCCGTTTAAGATGTGTCTGGAGCTTTGAAATTTGAAATTTAAAATTAAATTAAATTTTGACACTATATTATAAGATCATATTATTAACTTATTGTTAATTTATTGTTTCAAAATTTGGAATTTGAAATTTTCAAAATTAACAACTACAAAGTCTAGATCTTTGTAGTTGATATAAAGTTTTCTTCATTCGAGTTCATATGTAAACATTTTTTGCTTTTGACCCATACTTTCAACTCAAAACCAAATTTAGGGACCTAATGACACAACTGAATAAGTTTGAAGACATTTTAAATATACCGAGTTTCACATTCTCACGAACAACAGACAAGTTTAGGGACACTGGTGTACTTTACGTTTTAAATATACTGTTTCACATTCTCACGTGAAATCTTAAACTAATTTTTTTCCAATGTTTATTTTTGACGTTGAAGGATTGATGCAGCATTTTTTCGTACCAAATTCAAAATTTTAAAAATACAATATCACAATGCTGTTTACAGGTCCAGAAATGGACCAGTGTGCACCTTTTTACAAGTTTAGTGATGTGCGATGTACCAGTACCACTTAACAAGTTTAAGGACCCCGAAATACATTTTCAAAGTTTGTTAACCAAAGTGTCACCTCCTGACAAGTTCAAGGGTTGCTTGTGCATTTAACTCTTTATTTAGTTATATTTAGAAGAGCGTTACACACCTTTATGAAGACGAATGAAGTACAAAGCCAAGACCCAAATCGACATGTACACCCACAACATCTGCCGCATACACCAACCCACATAGACACACAAAGAGAGAAGACAAAATGCATTGTAGCACGTAACTCAAAGCCGATGATGCCAATGTTGACGGGCTCGCCACCATTGACTGCATCAGCTAAAGCACCAGGGAAAAGGTGCCTCACTACTTCGAAGAGCTGAGTTTAAAGGTGGAAATAAGCAGATCCAGGTTAATGAAGAGGGGAAAGAGTGGTGAATCCGATTAGATCAAATGAAGGAAGGAGAAACGAGGTGATGGATTAACTTTATTGGGACTTAACTTTCTTCCCAACCCCCATCCACAGGTATTAGGCTCAAAGAGGTTGTGGTGATAAAACTGGAGGGGTGAAAGCTTAGCAACCACCGATCAATGCTTATCCGGGTGCCATCTAGTACCTTCATGTAATGGAAGGAGAGAACCGTAGGGCTAGCCTGCCTCTCCCCCGCTACCTGCGAGGGAGGGAAAGGGATGGAAAGGAGGAACCCTAGGTCGCCACCACTACAGTAACGACTAAGGAGTGGGTGGAGAAGACGACTTTTAGAATTTTGGACTATTACAAATCAGAGTTGAACATAGATATAGACATCATGAGTCTCTATATCTATTATATGCCATGTTCGCTTGGTTGATAAGCCATGGCCAAAAGTATTGTTGGCTGATTTGTTGTGAGAGAAAAATACTATTCGTTGGCTGAAAAAGTACGACTTATAAGCCAAGCGAATATGGCGTATATTGACTAGGACTCCCCAGCAGGCCATTGTCAATGTCGCACGTCAGTGGATGGACCACCCTCACCGCTCTTTAAGCTGGCAATGAGGTCGTTGATCAATTTTTATTTCGGAATCAGTTGTGCCAACCTTTTTTCAATGAGTACTCCAAAGTTTCAATACTGAAACACAAAGAACAAGTAGATTTCTAGCTAGGCAAAAGATTCTACTAATTGGTCGCAAAAAAAAAGCTTCTACTAATTTAAACAAAAAAGTAAGCTAAGGTGGTAACAAAGAGAGAAAGTAAACTAAATCTAGTAAAAGTTCGGTCCTGCCTAAGATATATGTGCTAACAAAGAGAGAAAGCGTTCCTGCCTAAGATATCAGGTCCATCTTCTCTTTAGTGAAAGACGCATGTGCCGTAGCGGCGAGGCAAATATAATCGTCCATCGCACATTACACGTTCGGTCCTAGAAGCCTTTTTGCAGCCGTGTGCCCGCAGCGAGAGCGCGCGCATGCATGCGTCCAAAGAGGAGCCGAAGCGCCATGCCGTAACCCGTTCTGTCGTTGTGACGAGCGCACGCGTCTCTGTGTGGTACCGACGCTTATACATGACAGTGCTAGTGGAGCAGAGAACTGGTGCAACAGCAAGGTTGGTCAGCTCATGTCTCACTTCTGAGCTGTTGCTGTGATCAAACTTTTATGTGGGGCTCAGTTAGTCCGCTCACGATGACAACTTTCTTGTCTTCGCGTTGCTCGGTGCATAACTGGTGGGAGCCCATGCATGCGCCACCAATCAACGGATCAGCAGAAAAAGAAACGATTGTCGCCTAACATACGGTTCTCTTGATCTTACGTACATGTTCAAGCAAACTCGCTTAATATGACAAACGAGGCACACGTGACACAACACAGCCACCAGCTAGGCTACCAGCCTACCACTCAGAGCAAGTCAACATGTTCCTTGCTGAGACATCATGCATGCTCCGGCGCTGCATCGCTGACGCGGAATTTTAGATTCGACACGATCGATTTAATTTGAAATCCCGATATCCACCGCATTCACTCGTGCAAAGGCTTATGATAACCAATGGATCTAGGCTGTGTCCTTTCTTAATTTGAGGAGAAACGAAAAGAGCATAGTTGTTCCTTGTTCCCGTCG